ACACAAACGGATACCATTCTGAGTGCTTTGTGGGGGATGAATAGTCCCTGCCACACAATGGTGATCTAATTGCTTAAGACTTCACTGGCTGTGACCTGGAAAAATGTCACAGTAAAAGGAGGTCCCCTTATAAATGCAGTACTTCTGCACATTTGGAAAACATAGGCGTAGAAAGGTGTGCAATAATAGTGGAGTTGGCTGGTTATTGATATTAACATCCATCAAATGGGATAGTGAGAAACTAAGGACCATTAACAAGCTTAGATAGACTAAGCATGAGAGGGGCCCATATCTCCTGATGTTAGAAGAATGGACATAACTGAACAGCAAAGGGAAGCTCTGCTAGCTAAAGTTGCAGAACTACAGAGATAAGTTTTAGCAAAGATGTGTGTTATGCTAAGGCAGCAGCTTGGCCAGGGAAATCCAGGATCCTGAAACATGTGGTGGGGACATGACAATGGATAGCCCTGTAAGTGTTAGCTATGTACGTTCCATTGAATATTCAGTACTTAGAGAGATAGTGGCAGTTTCTTTTTCTTTCTTTCTTTTTTTTTGTGTGGCAGTTTCTTAGTAAGAGCTAGCACCATGTCTGTGTAGGAAGCTGCTGTACAATCCCCGCCTCCCAAGGTAAAGGTGACCCCTCAAAAATGCCCTCAAACCTCTCTCCAGCTGTTAGGCCAGTAACTTAAATTGCACCATAAACCAGCTGGGGAATTAATACTTGGCAAGCAAGGAAACTGAATATACACCAAAGAGCCAAAGGAACTGCAGACATTATCCAGCATGTATTGGCAGAAGTTAGGGGAGGGGGAGGGATCCTTTGATTAGATTTTGAGAGTGATGGTTCAAAAGGGCAGGTATATCACACTGGAAAAGCAAGATGTCATTGTTTTGGACATTTTCTCCTTGCACCTAACAAAAATCCCAGGAGATGCCACAATTCCACTTCTAGGATGATTCTTAGAGGCTCAGTGGAAGCAACATACAGCACTGAGCAAAGTCAGGATACCCCAGCTTCCTTGGCAGAAGAGGGAGAAGGAAATAAAAAGGCTAATTAAAGTGGACTTCCTGAGACAGATTTGTTGTGTGAGGTCAGGCACCCACCTGGAGGAAATTTCAAAAGAGGGCTCAGGAGATCCAGAGAAGGCTCACAAACTGGGGCCACGCCCAGTAATATCCTTTTTTGGCTGAATCTCCCCAGTCTGAATACATCTTGACTGAATTTCCTGGAGCAGAATTTCCTCCTGGAAGGGAGGGGCTGAGATCCCAACCCTATCTGCCTTACTCTGAGCCATTTGGTCAGATTTGGATTTAGTCCACCCTTCTACACTCAGATGCTGAAGAATTACCCTGAGGATTTGTGAAGTAAGACTCCTAGCACTTGGGTCTGATTCTGGAGAGTCGAGGAAGGGTCTCAGTTTATTTTCTGACCAATACTTCAATAAACTGAAGCTGAGCTTTTGCAGAGCTCAGTTTGAATACATTATATTACTAATTAAACTGCCCTAGTATCCTTGAGTCTTGAAGCTGATGGACCCAATTCATTTTCTGAGGGCAGAGAAAGCCCACTGTGAGCACTGGATGGCAGGACTGCCATATTGATTTTTAAAATTTTATTAAAAAGGGATTTGTTTTTATTTATTTTTGCATACAAGAACTGTGGTATAGGTCAAAGTGCAGGGGAGTGGGAGGATTCACCAGAAACAGAGTGGGGAGCAGAACAGGCAGATCTACTGAAACACACTGCTGAGGGGAGCAGTGGGCGAGATAGGAGAGGTCTGCTGCACCATGTGGGTTAGCTCCCTGGCCAGGGATCAAGCTTGTGCTGTAGTGGCTGCTGATAGCTTGATAGTGCTGAGACTTAACCCTTTGCACCACCAGGGAGGCCCTGCCATATTGTTTGTGACATTTTCCTTCAGAACATCTGGGTTCCTTGTAGTGAGCTAGGAAAACATCTATTGTTGTAGAGCAACCCCGATACAGTCTTTCCCAATGTCCTGATGGCTTTAGTCTGGAGTGGGGGTGGAGTCCACAAAGCCTGTATGAGATTATCTCAGGACATCCTTTCCCCCTAACACTATGACTTCTCTAACTTCATCACTGGTCATACCTGACCTCAATTATGCCTCAGCAATTCCCAAGTGCTTGCAGTTCCTTTTGTGTTCATTAGTCCATCAGTTGCCTTAATGTTTGGCTTTTGCTGCTCCTATTTTAAGTAGTCATTCCTTCCCTTCTATTACAAGCTTAATATTTGTCTTTAGAACTAGATCCAGGAGAAATTTATTATTCAACCCCTACACCTAAATCTAATTTCCCAGTAAGTGATAGAACTCTGGCATAAAACATTACAAAATACATTTGATCTCTTTTTGATTCTATCCATAACATTTAACCCATCACCAATATTGTTCGAGAACTATTTAATAATATTGTTTATCCAATAATAACTTGTCACTTCCAATTTTATCCCAAGTTTCACCTTAAAGATATGAAGAAAATTATCTTTCTTAAGAAAAAAAAGTTATAGGCTTTTCAGAACTGCCACAGTGGGTAGAAGATGCATAAGGCACCCTTGGCTTTGCGGACTGGGCTGTGGTACCTGCAGCCTGTCACCAGCTACTAGGAAATGTGACAGAATCTATGAGTTTTGAAACTATAGCGGTCATGGGGGTATTTTCCAAAAACTTGTTAAAGAGGACGTCTGTGAAAGAAATGCTAAGGGAATAATTGCATGTAAAGGAGTAGCTGCCAATGAACCCTCAAATCCTTACTTGTGGTGTTTAAAAATTCTTCATTTTGTCGAGTGTTGCATGCAACATTTTGAAGGAAAAATGAAGAACTGGTCAGAAAGACACAAAGAAAATAATGAAAATTATTATTTTATTGACATTGATCATCTCATAATAAATTATATAGAAAAATAAAAACAAAACCAAACTATTAGAAGTTTTAATTCAATAAATAAATTCTCATTCAGCAGACTAGACAGAACATAAAACTGACAAAATTATCACCCTGACAGATAATAAGGGAGGGGAAAAGAGGAGGGGGGAAAACAAGTCCTCTGGGAAACAGGAAGTAGAAGGAGGCATTTGCTTATAAAAGGAGAAATCAAGCTAGATCTCTCGGGTTAAAAAGAGTAAACAGCAGATATCCTTAAGGTCATAAGCTTTGCCTTTCTCTTGAGTGTTCCTGGAAATGGCATGTTCAAATTACAAAAGCATGGAGAAGGTAAGTTTATTTGAATGGAATTAATTTCCTCACAGATTCACTTTTCAAAGTCTTTTTTTATGTTTCCCTTTTGCCATGAATCTTAATTTCTTGATTCTGTCTTTGGAATGTCATTCTCTTTGCAGATGAATTACTATTTTTTCTCCAGGTGATTGCGGTTCTGTGTATATTTAGGTGGGAATATAAAGGTGAAGGAAAGATTTCAGTGCCTAGTTCAAAGCAGGTTTTTTTTTTTTTTTTTTTTTTTGTAGAATGACAAGATATGCAACATAAAAACAGTAAAAATATTCAGGCTAAAAGAAAAGTGGAAAAGGGTCTGTGCCTAAGGTTAGAAAGCAAATCATCAATTTCTTTCTTTTCTCCAGGAGTAAGAAATAACCTATTCCCAAAGGCTTGGTACCAAATGGATTCCAGATTAGGTTTGGTTAGTCCTGGACTGGAGAAAAAACTAAATTGAGAAATTTTCATAAGTATTTACAGGGGCTGCTGTATCAGGCTAGAGACCTGAACTGGTCAATATTATGTATACGATCATGGGTAAGTCATACAGCTATTTTGAGCCCTATTTATGCCTACAGTAGAATAAAATTCCCTCCCCTTGAAGGAAATGCTTTTGTTTGAAGCTGACCAGTGAATGTGTGTGGCAGTACTTTGAAAAAGGTGGTATACAAATGCAAAATCCCTATATACAAGGTAAAAGAGTTTGTGAGCAAAGGGAAGTAATTGAAAGGATTTAAATAAGGGGGGAGGGCTTGGCTACATCTAATCTACTTTTCTGGAACGAATATTACTGTGAGGTAGGAATGGATTTATTCATCAGTAGGTTTGAGAGGAAAAGCTAAGATGAGAAACTTACTTAAGCACATGTTGCTCAATGCCTACATAGCCATTGATCATTTAATTCCTGAAACTCACTTTCTTATTTTGTAAAATATGAAAACTAATAAATTACTACAAGTATGCTAAGAGCATTAAGTGGGAACTACTGAAGTTACCTAGTACAGCATGCAAGTGTCTTGTACAAAATCAGTAAATGTTAACTTCTTCCTATGGATCCACTTAATCTTTTAGTCATTAGATCATTGAAAAGTATTGAGCATTAACTCCGTGCTGGGCACTGTGTTAGTTACTGTGATTGCAATGGAGAGGAATGCATATATTTGCTGCTTTCAGGTCTTGGGGCTGATCTTAGATAGCTCAGGAATCTTGAGCTGGAGAGGCAGGCAGGGCTCAGCCTATTCAGCAAGATAAAGGTTACATGGAGTTTTGTCTTTAATTTGAATAACAATGATGAACTATTGGAGTTTAAACAAGCAAAAGAGCAATCTGCCTGAAAAAAATAGTCAAAAAGGTCTTTGAGATAACAGGAGGTTACTGTATCAGCCAGTGAGTTGATGAGAGCTTGAACTGGGTAACTGATAGAACACGGGAAGGCAGCAACACATTCTATACAGATTTAGGAGATAAAATGAAAGAGTTTGGCTTTTGAGAAGTGGAGAAGGAGGGCCATGAGGGAATGGCTCCCCAAATCCAAGCCCTGAACTCATATTTTGTTAATTACACACTTGTAAATCGACTTTGGCCCATCCCTTCATTGTTTCTCTTACATACTAAAGGGTCTAAAAATATCAAATTAACAATCTCAGTAAATTTTCTCTCCATCCACCTTTTGGCTTTTTGGATTTTTATTCACTAGTTGCACCTTGAAAGTGAGCAATTCGGTTGTTTGGTGATAAATGAGAATCAGTAATTGACACTTCACTTTCCAGAATTTTTTGGACGAAGAACTAGATGAGGAGAGTGTGATTCTCACACTGGAGCCTGTGAAGGAAATTATTGTAGAAAATCAAGTGGAGCCAAGTGTTTCTTCAACCACAGATGTCAAGCCTAGGAAAAACAAAGGTATGAGGATCGGGATTGTTCAGTTATTTTGCCACTCCTCCAACTCTGGGGAAGCCCAGGTAGCACATTTCCCCTCTTTTTTTTTTTTTTAAAGATTTATTTATTCATGCATACAAGAACTGGGGTACAGGCCAAAGGTGTGGAGGGTGAGAGGATTCACCACAGACAGTGGGGAACAGAACAGGCGGACTGACTGAAACACACAGATGAGGGGAGCAGCAGAGGGACAGGAGAGGTCTGCTGAGCCATGTGGTTTGCTCCCTGGCTGGTGGGGGATTGAACTCATGCTGCAGTGGCTGGTAATAGCTTCACAGTGCTGTCCTTAGCCCCTAAGCCACCAGGGAGGCCCTCCCCCCTATTCTCTGACTGCAACACCTAGCTCACATCTTACCTTGCCCTTGAATCTCATGCCAGGTATAAGATAAGTGATTACTCATTCCTATACTTCTCAATTGTTAAGCATCCAGCATATATTACTTTGAAGACACAAAATAGGCTTGTGGGGTTAATAGGAGTTCAAATTTCTAACCCATCAATCTCCATCTCCCTTTCTATAAAATGAGGTTAACACACACTTTACATGTGTCTTGTGAAGACTAAATACTTTCCCCCAGGTTTATTGATGTATAATTGACATATAACTCTGTAATTTTAAGGGGTACCTTGTAATGACTTGCTATACTTAGATATTGCAAAATGGTTACATACAATAAGGTTAACACATACCCATCACCTCATGTGGTTATCCTCCCACCCCCACACTGGTGAGAGCATTTGAGATTTACTTAGTGACTTTTAAGCTATAATTTATAAATAATAGTATTATTTATAGACAGCATGCTGTACATTAGATTCCCAGAACTTAATTCCTCTTCCAACAGAAAATGTGTGACCTTCAACCAATACCTTTCCATATCTCCCCCACCCTAACCCCCTATCAGCCATCACATTACTGTTTCTATGACTTTTTAGATTCCACATACAGTAGTTGCAAGACTAATTTTGAAAAACATCTAGCATTTTGTTGGGTGAGTAGTTATTGATCAGATACCATGACCCTTTGAATCTGTTGTCAGTTCTTCATATAAAGCCATCAAATAAGTATTTTCAAAATGATTTTATTTGGGGGGCCAGTAATGAGGACTTGCCAGTAAAGTAGATATTGACAGGTTAGAGCTAAGAAGAGAGAAATGAGGAGCTGAAGAGAAAATGGGGTGGCGATTTCTGTAGAAATAGCTAAATTTTGTGATCCATAATCTAGATGTTTTAGAGGAACAATTCAACATAATGTTTTACCCAGGTGTTTGTTGATGGCCACAAAAAATATAACAGCATTCTATATGTGATGGAAAAACAATCCTTTTTTTAAAAAAAGATTTATTTATTTATGCATACAAGAACTGGGGTGTAGGCTTGAGATGCGGGGATTGGGTGGGGGATGGGATGGGAGGAGTCACCAGAGACAGAGTGGGGAGCAGAACAGGCAGAAACACATTGCTGAGGGGAGCAGCAGTCAAGACAGGAGAGGTCTTCTGTGCCAGTGGCTGGGGATAGATAGGTTGATAGTGCTGAGACTTAACCCCTTTCACCACAAGGCAGGCCCTGAAAAAAGAATTTTAATTTAAAAAATTTAGCATTTGAAAAGGTGGGTTTGAGTCCCAGGTCTGTCATTTATTTATTTATTTATTTTTAAATTTATTTATGCATACAAGAACTGGGGTATAGACCAGAAGTGTGGGGGGTGAGAGGATTCACCAGAGACAGAATGGGGAACAAAATAGGTGGAATGACTGAAATACACTGCTGAGGGGAGCAGCAGGTGAGACAGAAGAGGTCTGCTGCGCCATGTGGGTAGCTGCCTGGCCAAGGATCAAACTTGTGTTGCAATGCTGTGGTTAGCTCCATAGGCTGCGTCTCAACCCCTTGTGCCACCAGGGAGGGCCCCCAGGTCTGTCATTTAAATGGCAGTGTGAACTTGGGAAAGTTCTTTAATTGCTGAATCTATTGTTTTATTTGTAATATGAGGGAAAATATTTGATATGTATATGTTCATCGGTTTTGAGGAAAGAAGTGCGAAATTTGTGTAATTATAGAGAACCTTACAAATATCATATTACTGCAACTTGAATTCCATTCTTTTCTCTGTTCATCTTCCTCAAATGAATGAACAATTCAAAGCTTGTGTAGTCCCTGCCATGCCTGCCATTTTGCCTCCGATTCATAAAGTGCATCGGGACACTCTGCGGAACTGGTGCCAACAATGTCATTTGAGTACTAGTGGCCAGGTGAGCACATTGGCGGGATTCTCTGCTTTTTAGAGCAAGTATAGGAAACTTTGTCAGCTTCTAATTTTTATTTCTACTCTTAATTTCCTTAGAAAATAAAGGTTTATGAGAGGCTCCAGAAACATGTTTACTGTGAAAGTAAAGAGGTGAGTGAGGAATGTGATGGTATGAAGAGAATTCTGACTGAATTATCCTTCCCCCATACTTCTCATTTCCTCTATTGATGCTGTACCTCTAAGGCAGGTTCTCAAGTGAGAATGTTGACATTTGGGGGTAAGAAATTTCTTTTTGTTTTGGGGGTCACCTGCTAGATCAGGATGTTAAATAGCAATCCTGCCCCTATGCCCCCAGGATTGTCATTTAAATGGCAGTGTGAACTTGGGAAAGTCCTTTAATTCCTGAATCTATTGTTTTATTTGTAATATGAGGGAAAATATTTGATATGTATATGAGCATCTCTTGTGAGAACAAAAGTGCGAACTGTAGTTTCAACCATCAAAAATTTCTTCCAGTTAAAACCACTGCTCTAAGGGAACGAACATTCCTATACCCTTTCCACACTGACACACATGGGTCAGTGTATAAAGAGTGATCAAATTGACAAAAATATTCCAAAAATGTTCACTGTGATTTGCAGGATATTCCTGAAACACCACGGGAGGCCAGATTGCGATTATCTCCAAGGAAAAGCAGAGAGAAGACCAAGAGAGGAAATACTCAGAAGAGTCATAGTATGTGTGAAAAAGAACCAGAGACAAATATAGTTGAAGAACCAGAGACAAATATAGTTGAAGTGATCACTCCAGCCCAGGAAGCCATGTTGGCATCATGGACAAGAATTGCTGCAAAAGCCTCTCTATCTAAAACTGAGAATTCATGTCGTATTACTACTTACGCTGAGACCTTTCTGCCTCAAGCTTCTGGTAAGGTCAACCTTGAAGAGTGAGTACCATTCCAGAGAAAGAAGTTTGCCTTTTTATTAGTTCAAACTGAAAGGTTATAAAAGGGAGTTAGTTAAAATATCTGTAGACTGGATATTAGGTTCATATAGGGCCTTATCTTTTGATAGCCACTTTTACCTGGATGGGTCATTAATCCAGATAATTGAATGGTGAACCTTTCTGGTCACTAGGCTGACTTTCAAGGTGAGGGAGAAAGCATATTTTGATAATATGGGGTTAGCCCAAGGTCTTCCCCTTTCTACTCTCCTTCCTCAAAGCATTCATAACATAGTAAACAGGAGTGCCTTGTCTTAATACTTCTAGGTCATATGTCATTATTATATTACTTAAGCCCTGATACCTTGGTCTACAAAATGAAGATTACAATTATTTTATAGACTGCTTATGAGATTAATTATACAATTTGGCACAATAAAAATAAATAATAGTAATTAAAATATTTAGGGCTCCCATCCTTTTAAGGAAATTTAAGAATCATAACTTAGCCACATCTTTCTCTGTTTCCTGCTTTTTTTTTAATAATTAGTAGCTCAAGTTATTTCATTTAAATATTTGCAAACTAGTGAAAACAGTTTTAAATGTCCATTAGGAGAAATAATGAGAAATATATTGACTATCCATGATATTGAACATTAAAATGTATCTCAAGAACCACATAACAAAAAAAGTTAAAAAAAGATATAGTTTGCACCCGTCCCTTCTGTTAACCACTAATCTGTTATTTGTATCTAAGATTTTTGCCTTAGTTTAACTTAGTTTGTTTCTCTGCTTTGTTTCTTTATATTCCACAGTGAAATCTGGCTTATTTTACTTTAGCATAAATGCCCTCAAGATTCATCTGTGTTGCCTCAAGTATCAAGATTTTATTCTTTTTTTATGGTTAAGTAGTATTCCATTGTATGTGTATATATCACATCTTTATCCATTCATCCCCTGACGGATGTTTTGATCGTTTCCATGTCTTTATTATTGTAAATAATTTTGCATTGACTCATTTAAAATTAGTATTTTTGTATTCTCTCTATATATACTCAGAACTGGAATAGCTAGATCATATGGTATTTCAACTGCTCCCTTTCAGTTGTAACATTTGATATATGTAGAATTTACCTTGTTTTCTTTTTTTTTAAGATTTATTTATGCATATAAGAACTTGGGTACAGGCCAGAGCTGCAGGGGGTGAGAGGATTCCCCAGAGACAGAGTGGGGAACAGAACAGGCAGATTGACTGAAATACATTACTGAGGGGAGCAACGAGAGAGTCGGGAGAGGTCTGCTGTGGACCATGTGGGTAGCTCCCTGGCCATGGATCGAACTGGTGCTGCAGTGGCTGCGGATAGCTTCATAGGTTGTGTCTTAACCCCTTGCATCACCAGAGAGGCCCTGAATTTACCTTGTTTTCTTGCAAATATCCCATCTTCAAAATTAGATTATTCCTTAATACTTAAACCCTCTTGTTGCCTGTTTTGTTTTTTTGCCTGTTTTATTTTGTTTTTATAGTTGAGGCAGTACAATGCAGTAATTAGGTGCATGGGCAGTGAATTAGAATATCTATCTTGGTTCTGTGAAAATTATGATAATGTTCTTAAGAACAAGTATATTAATACATGTAAACAACCTAGTGAAATCCTGGGCACAAAGTAAACCTTCCAAAATGCCAATTGTTTCTATCCTCATGCTATATAATTTGTAAAGTTATAGTACCTTTTTGCTACATTTTTGTTCCTTTCATTCAGTTAATTCATCAACAGACTATAGGAACAAAATTAAGAGTGACTTACTTAGTTTGAACTATTATTTATTCACTTCATATATTGACTTCTTTCCCTTCCTAGGTGTTAGGTGGTGTGTTGTCCATGGAAGACCACTTTCTGCAGACACAAATGGTTGGGTTCGCCTTCAATTCCATGCAGGTCAAACATGGGTGCCTAACAGTTCCAGGAGGATGATCTCTCTATTCCTGTTACCAGCTTGCACTTTCTCATCCCCGGACCTAGAAGACAACATGTTATGCCCTGAATGTGTTAAGAGGTAATCATTAAGTATATTTCTAAACATGGCACAAAGAAGAAAAGAGTCCTAGTTTTTTTTTTTTTTTTTAAGGTTTATTTATGCATACAAGGACTGGGGTATAGGCCAGAGGTGTGTGTGTGTGAGAGGATTCACCAGAGACAGAGTGGGGAACAGAACAGGCAGATCGACTGAAATACACTGCTGAGGGGAGCAGTGGGTGAGTCAGGAGAGGTCTGCTGTGCCATGTGGGTAGCTCCCTGGGCAGGGATCGAACTCATGCTACAGTGGCGCGGATTGCTTCATAGGTTGCGTCTTGACCCCTTGCACCACCAGGGAGGCCCCCTATTCTTAATTTTTTGAGAAATCTCTTACTGTTTTTTATAATAGTCAGCATTTGCAATCTCATCAACAGTGTATGAAGTTTCCCTTTTCTGCACATCCTAGCCAACATTTGTTGCTTCTTTTTTTTTTTTAAAGATTTTTTTTTTTAAATTTATTTATGCATACAAGAACTAGAGTGTAAGGCCAGAGGTATGAGGGGTAAGAAGATTCACCAGAGACACAGTGGGGAGCAGAATAGGTGGACTGACCGAAATACGCTGCTAAGGGGAAGTTGAGACAGGAGAGGTCTGCTGCACCATATGTGGCCTGTCTCCCTAGCTGTGGATCAAACTTGGGCCACTGTGTCAGTGACAGCACTGAGATTTAACTCCCTATGTCACCAGGGAGTCTTCCTGGACTGCTAGGAATAGGACGTGATGACATTCTTTATTACTGGAGCCAGAACGGAGAAGGTAACAGCTAGGTAAAGAGTAATGTCAAGATACCTTCATTCCTCTCTTATTTTTTCTTGTTTAAATTTTTTTTAATTCAGCTAAGATACAAAAGGGATGATTTATTGTAAACATGTTACATTCAGCCAAAATGAAAACAGAACTACTCTAGAATGTTACAATTCCAGGGCAAAGGACCAAAAGGGACTGATTTTGGTACAGCAGGGTGGATCTCATGAAGGTGACTGGCGATCCAGTGGTGATAGATGTTCTGGATTCACTGAAACAAGTCCTAGACAGAAGCATGCAGTCCAACAATTTGGACCAGTGTCCCTGGCCTCTGGCTTTCCTAATTTCTGCTCCTTTGGCTTCCCTGGATGCTGTCAGTTCACTTGTCTCTGCCTCATCTTTCTTTTGCACTTCAGCCTGCACATTTGCTTCTTCCACTTGGCTGCCATGGCATGGAAGCTTGAGAAAATGGCACTAAGGCTGAGAGTTCTTTCTCTGCCTCTCTCTTTTTTAAAGATTTATTTATTTATGCATACAAGAACTGGGGTACAGGCCAGAGGTGTGTGTGTGTGGGGGGGGGGTGACAGGATTCACCAGAGACAGAGTGAAGAGCAGAACAGACAGACTGACTGAAATACACTGCTGAGGAGAGTCAGGAGAGTGTGGGTAGCTCCCTGGCCAGGGCATCGAACTCATGTTGCATGGCTGCAGATAGCTTCATAGGTTGTGTCTTAATCCCTTGCACTACCAGGGAGGCCCCTCATTTTCTCTCTTAATGGGAAAACCATGAGCTTATATAAACACAGAGGCTGTGGGAAGAAGCTGTGGGAAGAGAATGGTGAGTATAAACATGAAAGAGATGAAGTTAATCATAATTTTTAGAACCTTGAGAATAAGTGGACAATCTTACTCTTTTTGTTTATTACACAAAAATAATTTTTATCCATTATCCTATATGCTCAGGAACTCCAAAAGTAGATTCCTTAATTTATGGGCCCTTTTCATGGCATTGGTATGGAATGATTTATCTGATTCTAGCAATTTTTCAAAATTTTTTTCTAACTTGCTTTATAGGAATAAGAAGATGATGAGAAGATTATTTGCAAGGAGAAGAAGTAAGTTGATTTGAACACACCAACATCATTGTTTTGATTGGGCCATTTCTTAATAAAGACTACATGGTGGAGGGCCTCCCCAGTGGCGCAGCGGTTGAGCGCTGGGTTGCGAAGCTGCCCGCGGCCTCTGCGGTGCCGGTTCGATCCCCAGCTGCTCCCCAGCCACTGGAGGAGGGTCCCACATGGCGCGCAGACCTCTCCTGCCGCCCGCTGCTCCCCTCAGCAGTGTACTTCAGCCCTTCTGCCTGCTCTGCTCCCCGCTCTGGCTCTGGTGAATTCTCTCACCCTCCCGCGCTTCTGACTGTACCCAGTGCATGTATAAACAAAACAAACAAACAAACAAATAAATAAAACACTCCTCTATAAAAAAAAAAAAACCTATAAAAAAAAAAAGACTACATGGTGGAGAGTCCACAGCTAAGGCCAATGATAGCAGTGCTTTGTCCTAGTCATCTTCAATGTTTCCTGATGCCTTAGGTTATGGACAAGAATACCTGGATTCTTTACTTGAGGTTTGTCAAAGTGTCTGCAGCTACTGCTTCAAGCATAAAGATATTAGGATACAATTTGGCTTTGTTTTCATTAATGGAGTTTATTAATTTTAGCAGTTTTAGGTTTTCAGAAAAATTTAGCGGGAGGTACAGAGTTCTCATATCCTCCTTGTCTCCACTATTACTCCTACTATCAATATTCTGCACCAGAATATTGTTGAACCTAAATTGACTCATTATCACCCACAGTCTGTAGTTTGTTTGTTTGTTTTTTTTTTTTGGTGGGATCCTCGCCGGCGGCCGGGGAACTAACCGGCGCTGCAGAGGCTGTGGGCAGCCTCACAGCCCAGCGCTCAACCGCTGCGCCACCAGGGGAGACCCCACAGTCTGTAGTTTTTAACGTTATGTTCATTCTTTGTGTTGTACAGTCTATGGATTTTGACAACTGTGTCATTATATATATAAGCACCATTAGAGTATCACACAAAAGAGTTTCACAGCCTTAAAATCAAAATTTCCTGTGCTCCACCAATTCAACTCTCCCTTTACCCTAATCCTTGTCAACCGCTGACCTTCTTATTGTCCCCATAGCCTTGCCTTTTACAAATGTCATTTAGTTGGAATCATATAGTTTGAAACATGTCCAGATTGGTTTCTTTCACAATATGCATTTAAGTTTCCTCTGTATCTTTTCATTGCTTAAAGCTCATTTTTAGCACTGATAATATTCCATTGCCTGGATATGGCACAATTTTACTTATTTATTCACCTATTATATTAAAAGCTCTCTTCGTTGCTTTCAAGTTTTGGAAATAAGAATATAGCTGCGAAAAAAAAACATGCACAAACTTTTGTGTGGACATACTAATTTTAACTCATTGGATCAATATAAGAAAGCATAATTTCTCTTGAAATACAGGTATATTTAGTTTTGTAAAAATTTTTCAAATTGTCTTCTGTAGTGATGGTACCATTTTACATTGCCAGCGGCAATGGCTAAAAGTTTCTGTTTTTTATACTTTCATCAGTACATGGTTGTCAGTGCTTTGAATTTTGGTCATTGTTATAAGTTTACAGTACTATCTTATTGCTTTAATTTGCAATTCCCCAATGGCATGATGTGGAGCATTGTTTCAGATGTTTATTTGCTATCTGTGTATTTTTTGTGAGGTATTTGTTTAGGTATTGTCCATTTTTTTTCAGGCCGTTAATTTTCTTATTGAATTTTAAGAGTTCTTTTTATATTTTGGATAATAGCCTGTTATCAAACATGTCTTGTAAATATTTTGCCCAATTTTGTTTGCTTTATTTTATTGATTAATTGGTATATTTAGATTGTTGATATTTAAACTGATTATTGACATAGATCATAAAGTAATATCTAAATCTGTGGCTATTTTCATTGCCCTGTTTTCTAATTTTTGGTCATTCCCTCTTCCCTTCTGTGGTTTTAATTGGACATTTTATATGATTTTTTTTCACTTTGTATATAAGTTACATGCCGTCAGTACATTTTATAATGATTGCTCTTGAGTTTATAGTAGATAGTCACAAATAACCCAGTTTCTCTTTCAAATAACACTGTAGCACTTCATAAGCATTGTAGCTGCCTTGTGATAATAGTATTCCCAATTTCTCCTTTTGACACAGGGATACTAACCACTGTACTAATGGGGAGCTGCTTCAATTCCTCCTTTTGGTTCCTTAAAACATTGCTGTCATTCCTTTAACTGAATATGAATGATATGAACTATAGTCATATTTATTTTGAGCAAATTTATCTGTTAGACCAAATTAGAATAAAGGTTTAAAAATTCATTTTACCTTTGTTTTCCTTTAAAGTTCATTATGTAGTGCTGATCTACATTGTATTTTTCATTGGTGAAGAATTTCTTATAACATTTCTAGCAAGGCAGATCTAGTGAACATTTCCCTCAGATTTTACCTGAGAAACTTTTGACATAATTTTGCTAAACACAGAATTCTATGTTGTTTATTTTCTGTTGACACTTTAAATATTTTACTAACTTCTTGGTTGCATATTTTCTAAAGAGAAATTATATATACCTTATTTTCTAAACTTTTCATTGTGAAAATATTGAAATACAGAAGACCTAATACATAACTATATGCCTTCTATCTAAATTTAGTGTGTAAATATATTTGATATACATATTACTACATGTTTGTTTGTTTGTTTGTTTGTTTTAAGATTTATTTATTTATTTATACAAGCACTGGGTACAGTCGACGCACGGGAGGGTGAGAGAATTCACCAGAGCCAGAACGGGGAGCATAGCAGGCAGAAGGACCGAAGTACACTGCTGAGGGGAGCAGCGGGCGGCAGGAGAGGTCTTTGCGCCATGTGGGACCCTCCTCCGATGGCCCGGGAGCAGCCGGGGATCCAACTGGCGTTGCAGAGGCTGCGGGCAGCTTCGCGACCCAGCGCTCAACCGCTGCTCCATCGGGGAGGCCCATTACTACGTATTTTTTCACTGAATCATTTGAAAAGTAAATTATAGACATCAAAGTCTAAATATTTCTAAGACATCATCTTTACATAAACATCATACTTTCAGAAAATGATATATCATGTTTATAATCACACTTTTTCAAATTTTCGTAATTATCTTAAAACTTTCTTTTTTAAGATTTATTTATTTATGCATATAAGAACTGGGGTGCAGACTAGAGGTGTAGGAGGTGAGAGGATTCACCAAAGACAGAGTGGGAAGAAGAACAGGCAGATCTACTGAAATACACTGCTTAGGGAAGTAGCAGGCGAAGACAGAAGAGGTCTGCTGCACCATGTGGGTCACCTCCCTGGCTGGGGATCGCACTCGTGCTGCAGTGGCTCATGATAGCTTCATAGGTTGCATTTTAACTCCTTGCACCACCAGGGAGGCCCTCCATGATTATATTTTTGAAGCGTCTAAGCTGGATGTCTCATAGAAGGTCCTGCATTGTAAATAAGAATGAAGATTTTTCTGGGCCTCCCCGGTGGTGCAGCGGTTGAGCTCTGGGTTGTGAAGCTGCCCACAGCCTCTGCAGCGCTGGTTCTATCCCTGGCCGCTGGCGGGGGTCCCACATAGCGCGCAGACCTCTCCTGCCGCCCGCTGCTCCCCTCAGCAGTGTACTTTGGTCCTTCTGCCTGTTCTGCTCCCCGCCCTGGCTCTGGTGAATTCCCTTACCCTCCCGCACTCCTGACTGTACCCAGTGCTTGTATAAATAAATAAATAAATCTTTAAAAAAAAAAAAGTGGGGCCTCCCCGGTGGCGCAGCGGTTGAGCGCTGGGTTGCGAAGCTGCCCGCGGCCTCCGCGGCGCCGGTTCGATCCCCGGCTGCTCCCCGGCCACCAGAGGAGGGTCCCACATGGCGCGCAGACCTCTCCTGCCGCCCGCTGCTCCCCTCAGCAGTGTACTTCGGTCCTTCTGCCTGCTCTGCTCCCCGCTCTGGCTCTGAATTCTCTCACCCTCCAGCGCTTCTGACTGTACCCAGTGCATGTATAAACAAACAAACAAACCAGCAAACAAATAAATAAAGCATGCCTCTATAAAAAAAAAAAAAAAAAAAAAAAAAAAGTGAAGATTTTTCTTTTTCCTGGCCTTTTTTCCATTATAAAAATTATAAAATTAAAATATGCTTATTAAAAATTAAATGCTGAAGTAAAAAAGTATATATCCTAAACAATTCCAAGAGAATGAAATTATTACATACTAACAAGTATTGGTCCAACAAGTTGTAGTAACAATTATATATGTATCAAATTAGGGCCCCCAAATACATAAAGAATTGAAGGGAAAACTAGTTCCATAGTAGTTAAGCTTTGATATTCCATCTTCAAAAATTGAGAGAGAGACAGAAGGTGTAGGAAATCGATAACTTTAACTATGAACAGAACACCCAACAAGAGTATACCTCTCCTGGTGCACCTGAACTTCTCTAAGATAGAAAACCTGCTAAGTTATAAAAGAAGTCTCAATAAATTTTAAAAGATTGAAATTATGCAAAGTATCTGACCACAATGGAATGAAGAAATCAATAGAATTAATAGAAAGATAGCAATAGAGTTGTAGTAGTCAGAAAATCAGATGTGTAGAAACACTTTAAATGAGCAATGGTAGAAGTTAGAAAACACTTGAGATTTTAAAAAATACAACATACAATAAAACTACAAAAACTTGAGACTACCTGGTGGCGCAAGGCTTTAAGCACAGCACTAGGAAGCTATCCACAGCCTCTGCAGCACGAGTTCAATCCCTGGGCAGGGAGATACCCACATGGTACAGCAGACCTCTCCTGTCTCACCCGCTTCTCCCCTCAGCAGTGTAATTCAGTAGCTCTGCCAGTTCTGCTCCCCATTCTGTCTATAGTGGATCCTCTCACTTCCCCACCCCTCTACCTCTGGCCTACACCCCAGCTCATTTATGCATAAATAAATAAACCTTTAAAAAAATAAAGATCTCAAAAGAAATATAGATCTCAAATCAACACTCTAATTTACACCTT